ATATTGGCCTGTAATTTTTCTTTGTATTGTCCTTGTCTGGCTTTGGTATCAGAGTGATGCTGGCCTCGTAGAATGTGTTAGGAAGTGTTCCATCTTCCTCTATTTTTTGGAATAGTTTGAGAAGGATAGGTATTAAATCTTCTTTGAATGTTTGGTAAAATTCTCCAGAGAAGCCATCTGGTCTTGGACTTTTACTTTTTGGGAGGTTTTTGATTACTGTTTCAATGTCTCTACTTGTGATTGGTCTATTCAGATTCTCTATTTCTTCTTGATTCAGTTTTGGGAAGTTGTATGAGTCTAAGAATTTATGCATTTCTTCTAGACTGTCCAATTTCTTGGCATATAGTTTTTCGTAGTATTCTCTTATAGTCCTTTGTATTTCTGTGATATCTGTTGTGATCTCTCCTCTTTCATTTCTTTTTTGTGTGTGTGTGATGACGATCAGCCCTGAGCTAACATCCACGCCAATCCTCCTCTTTTTGCTGAGGAAGACTGTCCCTGGGCTAACATCTGTGCCCATCTTCCTCTACTTTATGTGGGACTCCGCCACATGGCCTGACAAGTGGTGCATCAGTGCATGCCTGGGATCCAAACCCAGGCTGCCAGCAGCAGAGTGCACGCCCCTCCTCTTTCATTTCTAATTGTATTTATTTGAGCCTTCTCTCTTTTTTTCTTGGTGAGTCTGGGTAAGAGTTTGTCAATTTTGTTTATCTTCTCAAAGAACCAGGTTTTTGTTTCATTGATCCTTTCTACTGTTTTTTTTGTTTTCAATTTCATTTGTTTCCACTCTAATTTTTATTATTTCCCTCCTTCTGCTGACTTTGGGCTTTGTTTGTTCTTCTTTTTCTAATTCTGTTAGGTGTAGCTTACAATTGCTTATTTGGGATTTTTCTTGTTTGTTAAGGTGGGCCTGTATTGCTGTGAATTTCCCTCTCAGGACTGCTTTTGCTGCATCCCATGTGAGTTGGTATGGTGTATTTTCATTTTCATTTGTCACCAGATATTCACTGATTTCTCCTTTAATTTCTTCAGTGATCCATTGGTTGTTCAGTAGCATGTTGTTTAATCTCCACATCTTTGTCACTTTCCCAGCTTTTTTCTTGTAGTTGATTTCTAGTTTCATAGCATTATGGTCAGAAAAGATGCTTGTTATGATTTCAATCTTCTTAAATTTATAGAGGTTTGCCTTGTTTCCCAACATATGGTCTATCCTTGAGAATGTTCCATGCGCACTTGAGAAGAATGTGTAATCTGCTGTTTTTGGAACGAGTACTCTATATATATATTTGTTAAGTCCATCTGGTCTAGTTTTTTGTTTAAGTCCACTATTTCCTTGTTGACTTTCTGTCTGGATGATCTATCCATTGATGTAAGTGGGGTGTTAAGGTCCCCTACTATTATTGTGCTGTTGTTGATATCTCCTTTTAGGTTTGTTAATAGTTGCTTTATGTACTTTGGTGCTCCTTTGTTGGGTACATATATATTTATAAGTGATATGTCTTTTTAGTGGAGTGTCCCTTTTATCATTATCTATTACCCCTCTTTGTCTCTTGTTACCTGCTTTATCTTGAAGTCTACTTTGTCTGATATAAGTATGGCAACACCTGCTTTCTTTTGTTTGCCATTAGCCTAGGGTATCATCTTCCATCCCTTAACTCTGAGCCTGTGTTTGTCTTTAGAGCTGAGATGTGTTTCCTGGAGGCAGCAAATTGTTGGGTCTTGTTTTTTAATCCATCTAGCCACTCTGTGTCTTTTAATTGGGGAATTCAATCCATTTACATTTAGAGTGATTATTGATATATGAGGGCTTAATGCTGACATTTTATCACTTGTTTTTCAGGTGTTAT